GCAACGGGAGAGGCCACAACAGTGAGAGGCCCGCGTACCGCAAAAAAAAAAAAAAGTTTTTATAATCTACTCTTTATCTCTATAGATTTGTCTATTCTGGACATTTCTTATCAATTGAATCATACACTATGTGGCCTTTTGTGTCTGGCTTCTCTCACTGAGCAGCACGTTTTCAACGTTCATCCACATTGTAGCGAGCGTCAGTGCTTCATTACTTTTTATGACTGAATAATATTCCAGTATATGGATGGACCACATTGTGTGCATCCATTCATCTGTTGGTGGACATTTGGGTTGTTTTAGTTGCGGGATAAGTAAATAGGGAACGGCTCCTTGATAGGTACATAGTTTACTTTTGGGGTGATAAAAATGTTTTGGAGCTGGATGGTGATGATGTTTGTACATTGTGCTCAATGCCACTGAGTTGCACACTTTCAGTGGCCAAAATGGTTAATCTTATGGTATGTGAGTTTTGCCTCCAATAAAAAGGAAAGCTTCATAGTATTTCATATGATGGCTTCACGGTTCACTTGATGTGTCCCAAATTCTTGGACAGGTAGGTCCTTCTAGCCTTTAAAAATTTTTTTATTGAAGTATGGTTGATTTACAATGTTGTGTTAATTTCTGCTGTACAGCAAAGTGACTTAGCTTTACATATATATTCTTTTTTCATATTCTTTTACATTGTGGTTTATCACAGGGTATTGAATATAGTTCCCTGTGCTATACAGTAGGACCTTGTTGTTTATCCATTCTATATATAATAGTTTGCATCTGCTAATCCCAAACCCCAAATCCATCCCTCCCCCTCCCCCTGCTTTGGCAACCACATGTCTGTTCTCTATGTCTGTGACTCTGTTTCTGTTTTGTAGATAAGTTCATCTGTGTGGTATTTTAGATTCCACATGTAAGTGATATCATATGGTATTTGTCTTTCTCTTTCTGACTTACATACTTTATCATACTTAGTATGATAAAAATGGCATTATTTCATTCTTTTTAATGGTTGAGTAAATATTCCTTTGTGTGTGTATATATATATATATACATAGAAATGTACACATATATACACACATATATACATATATATACAACATATATGTGAGATATATATGTATATATATATATATATATACACACACACAAACCACATCTTCTTTACCTGTTGATGGACATTTAGGTTGTTTCCATGTCTTGTCTATTGTAAATAGTGCCTTCTAGCCTTTTATTACTACAGACAATATTGCATTAAATACATGTGTCCACACATCTTTGTGTCCACGTGTATCTGTAGGCCAATTGCCTTTTCAATGTCTGTAGGACTTGATTTTCCTACCTCTAGGCTTGGAGCCTCTGTTCCACATTTATTCTCACCCAGGTGACGGGTCACATGGTGGCAGCCTCAGGCTAAACCTGGGAGAGTGGTGGCCCATGAGGACAACAGCCACCTCCTAGAACCTTATCCTCTGCAAATCTTCCCCTCCAGGTTACTGACATTCAAAGCCTTTGCTCAGATCTTCATCTTGGGGTGTTCCTGGGTGTTGGGCATTTTCCAGATTGGACCCATGGCCAATATCATGGCTTACTTGTTCACCATCATCAACAGCCTGCAAGGAGCCTTCATCTTCCTCATTCATTGTCTGCTCAACCGCCAGGTAGGTAGCTGCCGCCTTCCCAGTCCCCTTCCTTCCAGGGCTCATGCCTCTGCCTACACATGGCCCTGCATCTAAGAGTGATTCAACTCCCCGTGATGTGTCTCCACCTTCAGGTACGGGAAGAATACAGAAGATGCATGACCAGGAAGACCAAACCCAGCTCCCAGTCCGACACCTCAAGGATCGCACTGTCATCCGTTCCCTCCACTTCCAAAACGGTGAGAGTCTGCATGTTGTACGCAGGTTCTGGTCAGACAGAATGTCTGCTTCTTAGCAATACTAGACAGCACTCTATGTTGAGTACCTACTGTGAGCTAAACACGTACACGGGTATTAACTCATTTGATAAAGTTTGGGGTTTAAGGGTGGGGGTTTGGGAGCCAGACTGCCTGGGTTTAAATGCCAGCTCTGCCCCTCAGTAGCTATGCAAACTAAAAGAGACAAAGTCATGACTCACAGATATAAAATAAGCACCTGTCAAGGATTTTATTCTGCTCATTAATCAGTGAGGGAAGCAACAGGTGTTATAACTGGTTCACAAGAGAACGCAAAGAACAGACGTGTATGTGTATTACATCATACATATAATGTGTACAATGTATATAATGTACACATAATACATAGCACACATATAATGTACACAGTGTTCACAATGTATACCTAATACATAATATTACTACTTTATATATATGTATGTTCTTTGTGTTCTCTTTTGAACCAATTATAATATCTGCCTGGTTTCCTCATTGATAATTATATGTAATATATAGAACATATAATTATATATTATATAATTATACATATAATTGTAAATATACAGACATTATATATAATTATTCACATTACAATATATAAATTTTATATTATATAATATATATATTATATATAAATTTCATATATAATATCTATAAATTATACATAATTATACATAATTGTATTTCATACATAATTATTAATATAAAGGCATTATATATAATTATTAATATAATATAATCATACATATAATTATAAATATACAGACATATATAATTATTAGTATCATATAATATATTTAAAATTCATATATGTGTATTACTTATGTATTAATATATGTGAATTAAATACATATACAATCTCAATAATATTGAAATGAGAGTGCAAGTAAAGGAAAAACAGATTTTTCCATGAAATTATTTTCCATCACTGTCAGTTATTTAAAATTTACAGAATTGTAAAATAGCTCCACCATAGATCAGATAATACCCAAAGGGGTATCCTCTAACAATGCATCATTTTTGTTCGAAGCGCACATTTTCCTCTACACAATGGATCTCATCCAATCTTATGGCTACAAACACCATCTATTAGCAATGACCCCCAAATTATAAATAATGTGCAGTTTAGCCCCCTCTCCTGAATTCTAGACTCATATAACCTGCCACCTTCCAAATGCCCCCACTTAGATGTCTGATAGATGTCGCAGATGTAACACGTTCCAAATAAGCTTCTGATTCCCCTACCTCTCATTTCCACGTAGGGTCCTCTATTTTTCTATTGCTCGGGAGTGAAGGTGTGAAGTTAACCTTGACTCTGCTTTTCTTCTCACTCTCTTCCATCTCTGATTCATCAGCAAATCCTGATGACTTTTTCTCAAAATGGATCCAGAGTCTGATCGCTTCTCTTTCCCTTCATTCCTTCCACTGTGGTCCAAGTGCAAGTCTCTAGCCAGGATGATGGAAATAGCCACAAAAGCGTTCTTCTGCTGCCTCTCTTACCTTTTCCCTGCCCTACCTTTGGTCTATTCTCCCTACAGCAGCCAGAGGGCACTTGTGAACCCCTGAGTCAGGTCACATTCCTTCTCTGCCTACAACACTCCATGGCTCCCACCTTAGAGTAAAAGCCAAAGTCCTCCTGGTGGCCCACAAGGCCTTGTCTAATCTGACTCTCTTTTCCTTTTTGACCTTGTCTTCTATTAATTGACCTCTCGCTTCACTCTGCTCCACCCTCACTGGCCTGCTCAAGATTCTTCAAACATGGCAGGCTCATTTCCTCCTTAGGAACCTTGAACTGAATGCTCTTGAATGCCTTGAATGTTTTTGTCCTGATACCTGCATGGACAACTCCCTCACTTCCCTCACGTCCTTCAAATCTTTGTTCCAGTCATTTCTTATCAATGACATTTCCTCTGACAACTGTATTTTGTGCAGCCTCCTATTCCCCTACCCTGGTGTTCATGCTTCCTCCATGCACCTTGCCTTGACTTTCTTTTCCATGCTTTCCACTTTCTAACACTGTAATTTCCTTATTCATCTCATTTAATTTTTATGGTCTTCCATCCCCCACTAGAAGGTCTTATTTTTTTTCACTGATGTATTCCAAGCACAAGTAACTAAGATCCAGTGGCTTAAATAAATATGAAATTCTTTTTCTTGCAAGAATAGAAGTCCAGAGTTAGGTGTTGCTGGTATTGGTTCTGTTGCTTAGTGGTATTGTTAAGGATCTAAGCTCTCCCTAGATTTCCTTTCCACTGACAGCATGTTGACTTTTCATCAATTATTTTCAAGGTTGCAAGATGGCTGCCATAGCTCCAGACATTGTGACCACGTTCAAGGCAGGAAGGAGAGGGATGGTGCAGAGTGGTAAACTCTCCTTTCAACCTTCTCCCTTTAACAGGAAACAAAAGCTTTTCCAGAAGCCCCTTAGCAGATTTCCCTTTCACCTAATTGGTCAGAACTGCATCACATGACTACTCATAGTTACAAAGGAATTTGAAAAAACAAGTATTCTGCTTTCTAGCTTCTAGAATGGGAATATCAATAGTAAAGAGGTTGAGAATAGCTTTTGAGTCTGCCAACAGTGCCTGCCACACTAGGCGTAATCACTGTTAACATTTAAATGTTTATCCTTCTAGTTTTTATTGTCATATTTATCTCTGTCTGTATTTCTAAGACCCATGCCCACATAGATCTGATCCCTGGACCCACATTTGTACTAATCCTGCCACTGTTTCTGATTCTAATTTCTCTCACAGGATTAAAGTCCTTTCTTGCTTTCAAATACACTATGAAACAACATTTCAGGAAAGCAGGTGCCTGCAGGAGCCTTCGCTGAAATCTTTTCTTCTCGGCTTAATATGGAAATGCAGGATCTTGCCAGCCCCAGAACTCTCTGGGAAATTCGGATCATGGATGGATATGTGGGATGGTCTTCCCATGGCTTCACGCCCTGCTGAGAAACAAGAGTTCCTGTTCCAGCTTACCATTTTATCTTCTGTGTTCTGCAACTCTTTGACTTTCCAGAGTTTTGCGGAGATAACAGATCGCAGTGCAATGGCGGGACCAAGAACTTCTGGCTACCATTTTGTTTTGTCCTAAGTCCATTGATGTGTGGTTTCAAGAGTGCCTCTCCAGCATCTATCACATGCTTGACACAGAGAGTAGCCCTCAATAAATGATGTGTCTTCTGACTGACTGCCTTACCTTTCAACAAAGAACCCTCCTGCTTTTATAGAAATGGTCAGTAAAATTGTAAGGAGAGCCTCAGGGGATAAATAAAGCACACACACTTATAGGCAGAAACACTTAAAAGAGTTATGTTGGTAAGTAGGAGCAGTCAAAGGGAATTAAGAGGTACAAACTTCTAGGTATAAAATAAATAAGTGACAAAAATGTAAGGTTCAGCAGAGTGAATATAGTCAATATTTTATGATAACTTTATATGGAGTATAATCTATAAAAATATCAAATTACCATGCTGTACACCTGAAAGTAACATAATACTGTAAGTCAACTATACTTCAATTGAAAAAAAGAGAAGGAAGTGAAAATTCAACATGTAGATCTCCCCTCTGTGGCCACTTTAATAGCTCCCTAATCAAAGTGTAGTCTGTGGACCAGAAGAATCAGCCTCACCTTGTTAGAAAAGTAGGACATCAGGTGCCACCCCAGATCTGCTGAACCAGAGCCTGCATTTTTTTTTTACTTTTTATTTTGTTTTATTTATGTACTTTTTGGCTGCGTTGGGTCTTCATTGCTGTGCACGGCCTTTCTCTTGTTGCGGTGAGTGGGGGCTACTTTTCGTTGTGGTGCACAGGCTTCTCTTTGCGGTGGCTTCTCTTGTGGAGCATGGGCTCTAGGCATGCGGGCTTCAGTAGTTGCAGCACATGGACTCAGTAGTTGCAGCACGTGGGCTCTAGGGCACGTGGGCTTCAGTAGTTGTGGCGTGTGGGCTCAGTAGTTGTGGTTCGCGGGCTTTAGAGCACAGACAGCCTGCATTTTAATGAGATCCCCAGGGGATTTGTGTTGTACTCATGAATGTTCTAGAATATTCTTCTGTTTTCCATGCTGATAGCTCAGCTTGTCTTTAAAGCCAGAAAGGAAACATTTATTTTGGGACTTTACACCTGCCATTCCCTCTTCCTATGACATTTTTCCTCAAAATCTGATTCATTGTTATCCTCTCTTTGAGTCTCAGCTTAGTCATCCCTTCCACTAGGAAATATTCTTTGAATCTCTCTTTTTTAAAAAAGTGAAGTATAGTTGATTTACCATATTATATTATTCTTTGAATCTCTTGAAGTAGGATAAGATATCATCTCTGTGTGCCTCCTAAGGCTTTGTTGAGCTGAAACAAATAGACTGCCAGATATTTCTCCAGCAAAAATGGGTTTATTTGGTATCAGTGGAGAATTGCAATTCAGGGTCTGCAATATGCAACGTGTGGTGAGCCACATGCAAGTTCCTGTACAGCAAGGGAAAGAGAATTCTTTTAAAAGAGAGGAAAAGGAAGTTAAGAGGGCTATAGTAAACAAAGAGTCCAAGGCTTTTATTGGCTGAGTCCTTGCCAGGAAAGAAGAGAAGTCTTTCTTTTTCTTGGGCTCTGCTATCAACACAGGACTTGAGAACTCCCTTTTTTAACCTCCCAAATCTATTTACTTTAGCTTTCTGTTTATTAATTCTTTTTGTACAACTTCATGCTTTCTAGCCCTGTACTATAATTTCCCTTTTTTTGGGGGGGGGTGTCTCCAACAAACTCTGAACTCCATCTGTACAGAGAATTGTATTTAGTAGGTTCTCCATAAATACGTTGAATGAATGAGGGAATGAATGAATTCTCTCCTTTTTAAGATGAGACCCAGAGAGCTTAAGTACCTTTCTCAGCATTACACAGCTGTAGGTGGCTGAGCTGGGCTTTGAGCTCTTGATAACAGAGCTCCTCTTCCAGATCCCTGGCCCCTTGCCTTCTCTTCCTTTGACCTCAGGAATTCTTGGGGACACAGAGAAGAGACTAAATATTTACTTTGAATCAACTTACCACTTAGGATTCAATTGGCTCAGTAATAATCATGTGTTGGAAAATTTGATAGCAACATTAAACTTGGTTGTCAGAGGCTTGGTTTTTGTCATTTGTGGCAGCCACAATTTGGGAGGGGGTTGACACATGTTTACAAACAAGGGTTCATTTATGATGGGTGGGTCTTCAATGCTTGGCTTATCCAGAGTGTTCAGTACAGCGGTGACAGTTCTAAGGGATATTGAAATGAGATTGCACAGCTCTTACATTTAGCCAATATAGGTAGATTGATTGCATCAGTGGCCTCAAGACGGGTCTCCATGTCTCCACACCCCTTCCCTGCAACTTTGTAACTCCTTCCCACTCTGACTCAGACTTGGCTTTGAGACTTGCTTTGGCCAAAGGAATATTAGCAAGTGTGATTCAGAGGTTTCAAAAGTGAGTGTGCCATCCTTTTTTCCCTTTACATGGTTAATCTTGCTTGATTTGGCATACCTGCCTCTGCCATGAGAATATGCCCAGGATAAACTGCTGGACATATGTGAGAAACATATGGAAGAGAGTTTAGTAATCCTATTATACCAGCTGAGGTTTTCCATAGTCAGCCACCTAGCCAACTTGTAGCTGACTGTGGTCATATGAGTGAGCCCAGCCAAGATCAGCACACTGCCCCAGCCAACCCACAGACTCAGCAGCAACAATCAAGCCTCATTTTTTTCAGACACTTAGTTTCATGGGTGGTTTGCTATGAAACATTACTTGTGACAATTGCCCCATCTGACACAGTAGCCAATGGGTTGTCAACATTTTGCATTTGATTACAACTTGAAATAGACAAAGAGAAAGGTTGGATCTCCATTTCCTCTTAGTTATTAGGACCTATAAATCTATAATGGTTGAATTAAAGTTCTTTCTGAAGAAGATCTGTGCAAGGCTTTATCTGTTTCTGCAACAGTGTTACATGTTGGTCTAAAATACAGTCACCTTCAGGAATCCTATATTTCTAAAGTAAGTGGGTAAAGTTGTGATCTCCACAATAGGATTTTTTCTTACTATAAACATCAAGCTTGGTGTATTTCTTCACCCCCATGTCTCATATGCCTCCACTAGAGGGAGAAAAGACACAGGATAAAACCTGCATAGTTCTTAAATCCCATAAAGTGCAATAACATTGTCTTCTTACAATCCAAATAATTTATGGCGTCCTTACACCGCAAAATACAAATCCATCCAGTCAAGTAATATTTATTGACCACTGACAATGTGCCTTCCCATCCCTGATCATTAAAGTAGTTGAAAAAAATTGAAAAGTTGAAATGTAAGGATATTAGGATGTAAAATATTATTTTAAATTTAAATATTTTATTTATAACAACCAGAATTTATGAAAATTTTACTTTCTTTGTTTTACTAGAAGCCAACTCATCAATAATATTTTCAAAATCAAGTTCTAGGAAAAAAAAATGAACCTTTAAAAAGTACATTTAAAAAGAGTATGTAAAAATGTTTGCAAATGAAGCAACTGACAAAGGATTAATCTCCAAAATTTACAAGCAGCTCATGCAGCTTAATATCAAAAAACCAAACAATCCAATCCAAAAATGGGCAGAAGACCTAAATAGACATTTCTCCAAAGAATATATACAGATTGCCAAAAAACACATGAAAGAATGCTCAACATCATTAATCATTAGAGAAATGCAAATCAAAACTGCAATGAGATATCATCTCACGCTGGTCAGAATGGCCATCATCAAAAAATCTAGAAAGAATAAATGCTGGAGAGGGTGTGGAGAAAAGGGAACCCTTTGCACTGTTGGTGGGAATGTAAATTGATACAGCCACTATGGAGAATAGTATGGAGGTTCCTTAAAAAACTAAAAATAGAACTACCATACGACCCAGCAATCCCACTACTGGGCATATACCCTGAGAAAACCATAATTCGAAAAGCGTCATGGGGTTTCCCTGGTGGCGCAGTGGTTGAGAGTCTGCCTGCCGATGAAGGGGACACGGGTTCGTACCCCGGTCCGGGAAGATCCCACATGCCGCGGAGCGGCTGCGCCCGTGAGCCATGGTCGCTGAGCCTGCGCGTCCGGAGCCTGTGCTCCACAACGGGAGAGGCCACAACAGTGAGAGGCCCGCGTAACGCAAAAAAAAAAAAAAAAGGCCGAATGTGCCCAATTCCCTCCTCCTATG